AGTGGGACAGGCCTGGAACACCTCCCAAACAGATGACCGAGCCACCTCAGCTGACTTCTCTCGATGTGGAGGAGCAGCGACTCTATTTCGAGCTCCTCATCCTATAAGGGGTGCTCCCTGCCCTGTTCCATCTTTCCCTCACTTGTGAACAAAACCCAAGACACTTGAACTCCTCCACCTGGGGTAAGGACATTCCTCTAACCTGGAGATAGCAAACCACCTTTTTTTTACGTCCCAAGATTCCTGACTAATTAGATGTCCTTAGTGATCTTTATCCATGCCAAGATATCCTCCAGGCAGTGTGATGTCTGGGCAACTACCATTGGATCATCTGGCTGAAATGAAAGATAGAGCTATGCATAATCATCATAACAATACAATAAATCATGTGATTGGATTCTTTGAGATGTGGTGAAAATTAAAAATAGAAGTGGACCAATAACTGATTCCTGAGGTACCCCTTTGACCATCTGATGTGCTTCGGACACCTCTCCAAACAACCCTGAAAGATCTGCTGGTGAGGTAAGAATCTAACCAGCAGAATGTGGCATCAGTGATTCCCATTGAGGAGAGGGTGGATAGGAGAAAAAGCAGAATGCAGAACTGATGATTTGGAACCTGCTTCAGCAATCATCAGGGCTTCAGTGATTTAGAGGAGTGTAGTTTCACTCGGATTTGAAGCCTGATTGGCTAAAAATTACATTCACAATGTAATTTTTAAGACTGAACCTAACGTTTATAAAACAACAACAAAGCTGCTTTATGATGTATGCTTTTGCAATAGAACTGACCAAATATCCAAAAACTTTCATTTGCTACCACCCCAAAAATGAAGACAAAGCTAAAATCACAAATGCATTCATTTGAGTATTATCTTTTTAGCTTTGCAGAAGAAAGTCTTGCAGATTTGCTGTGATATGAGAATGAGTCAATTTTCACTTTCACTGGGATTGTTACGGTCCCAATAATTGCTGTTCCATCAGGCGCCTGGTTCTGTCCTCCCCTAAAATGGACCTTTTGGTTCAGATTGCATCTCCTTTTATTTTTTTCATTGGCATGGCATCAGTAGCACATACCAAGCTGGCCATGCACAGAACAGCCTGCCATAAATCACATAGCAACAGGAAGTTGCAGTGACGGCAACAAGGCCAATGGGAAAACAACTGGCCAGATTGTGAACATAGGGATTTACATAATTACCTCTCCAGGTTTTCTTATTAACACTCACCTTTTGCCATGGATTCTGCATCTATACCTTTCCCTTTTTTTCCTATATATTTTATTTTGTCTTTAACATAGAAAAGAATTTGCTATTCTTTTGAATCTTTCTGAGCGTGAATAATTGGTAAATAAATGTTTAATCACATCACCAATTTGAGATGAATAGACAGAGCTATTTTTGGCATGTAGCCTGGGGTATGTTATGTTGAAAGAAAAACAAAACTTAAAAATAAAAAGTAACATGAAGGCCAGGCTTGATCAGGGTTGGGGTAACATATTACCAGAAATGAGAGTTACATATTAATATTAACTTTCAAGTAGCGAGTAAAGTCAGACCCCCTAGTTTTTCATGAATTTTATGTGTGTATATATATATATATATATATATATATATATATATATATATATATATATATATACACATATATATATGGTTGCTAAACCATGATTGGTGTGTGGCGTTTTTTTGGTGTGGCTTAGCGAAGGATTAAGTAAGGCAATAAAGGTAGCAGTAAAAAAGTCATATGCACTGAAGATGGCTTGAAGGTGTGTAAAATATGGGGCTATTTTCATTTTTGGTGAACTATCCCATTAAGTAAATTCCTGGTTGACGTGCGTTGGCAGTGTGAGGTTGCCATGTTCAAAGGACACTGGCTGTGTCTGAAATTGCCTACTCCCTAAAGCAATTACTTCAACTACTCAACTACTGTACAGTTTGAGCTTTATCTGTACATGCTACAGTCTCTGTGTAGTCATCTTGGTACATGTTCTACTTTTTAAACATACTTGTTTGCCCGCATACTGTTTTTCATCTGCATATATAGTAGGCAAGTATATACACTTGGATGCAGTCACAATTTCACAGATCTAATATATGGATAAAAAAGCAATTTCTTCTTCAGCTGTTTACATTCACATACATGACCAACATTCCCACTACATGCATTTTTTTTGTGCTTTTGACATAAATCATAAAAATAGTTAAGGTACATATGTTAGCACACATGTTTGTGTTACACATTATACTGGTCAATAGTAGGAACTACAAAATTGAAGGTATAATGTGCTTCATTTTAAGCCTTTTGTTCCATATTTAGTTCTTTTAAATGATCATATTTACTATGTTTACATGAACAAATTCCATGGATCGAATTATTTGCCTCAATCTGAATAAGGCAATAATATTATTAAGGTGTATTTAGTTGCTTTTTTTTTATGATTCCGTTTAAAGGGCAACAACAACGCGTAGCTCAAGCTCTGTGATTGGTCGGCTTGGTAGTGCTGACTAGTCTGGGTGGGACAGAGAGCCGCGCGAATGGCGCTAACCCAATGGAGCGATTGTTTACAAGTGTGGAGTCCTGTGAAGGAGCTCCGGATGGAAAGTTTTGTTTTGTGTTAACCTCATAGTTAAAGTTGTTGCACGTCCGCCGGTTCCTGCCTCAAAATGAGTTAGTTTGAGCCACTTGTACATCCAGGAAGTGTTCAGGAAAAGCAAAACAGCAGCGAAGAAACTCGACACAAAGGAACATTTATACCTCACTGCCAACTAGCATTTCGGAAGTGTTAATGCAGACCAACAGAGACAGCGCGCAGAAGTATAAATGCACAACTACGCGCGTTGCATGCGCCGTTGGTTACGCCGGTCACTTGACGCAGAAGTATAAACCAGGCTTTAGGCGGGAGTGTCGGGGGAGGGACAGAGGGAAGGGTTTGCATGGGAGTTTCAGTTTGAGGACACGCTCTATTTTCACAGGAAAAACAACATACAGACGCAGGGAGAAAGTCAGTGACTATGTTTACATGGACATCAGTATACAAATTATTATTTTTTTATTATTAATTTGCTGACTTCAACTGCAGTTTGGCACTTTCACTTTCATCCAGAAACACTTCATGCATGCCCCCCTGTGACAAACGAGATACTGGATGAGAGGAACTGCTGGAAGAGTGTAGTTTTGATGGAATGTTTGATACCACATGCCGAATGGGAGAAAAAAAAAACAAAACAAAAAAACTCAGCATTTCTCGGTAACTTAGATGCACTCATTAGGTAGCGTCAGAAAACTGTGTGTGTATAGACTTTCTACACACGGTAATAGTTTGATTAATTTGTTTACATTCGAAGAGCAGCATTTACAGTGAATCTTTCAGTCCATAATATTGTAGTGATATTACTGTAAACTTAACTAAATCATTTTGACTAAGGTCTGTCTTTAAAAACTGAAAGAGTACTGCTCACGATACAAACTAACTTTGCCATCTGTATAAACGAAAACAAAGAACACTGATCGCACAATTACCAAATCTGTAGAGGCAGGACAGTCAACGGCAACTGAAGCCGCGTGTTTTTGAAAGGAGACGAGCGGCAAATCCAGATTTCACCATTTAAACAAAACAAAAAATGTTCCTTGCAAATGCATTTTTGTTGCGTGTTAGCAGACCACTGTAATCCACACGTGGGTCCAGCTGTGCTCTTACAGCGGAGAATTGAAAACAAAACCTTCATTGCAGCACATTTTTAAACGCAGCACTGACAACCCATGTCTCGGAACAATTCTTCTACTTCCATTTATTTTAATTACATTTGATAACACAACGCGGCATTTCTCTGCCGTCTGAACACTGTAAGAGATAAAAACAGTCTTCGAAACAATCATGGATATTAAGTTGCACCTCATTCACGATAGAGTGCGCTGATTGGTCCGAACCAAGTCTTTCTCGCGAATTAATGCTGAAAGCTCGAAAATGTCAAGTTGTACCAGCCGGTACAGACATCCAGTCTACACGCTTGAATTCACACAATGATCTCATGGCCATGACGTAGCTTCAAAATTTCTTTTCAAACAGGAATTTGCTCGAAATTATGCAAAAACAACCAATTTTCACTTACATATGTGTCCTAATAATGTTTTTAGCAGAGTGGGACAAATATATGACTGTCAACATCTCAAAAAAGTGTTTGGTGTTTCGTGACCCTTCAACATTGTTATTGTACATAGATCAATTAACGTCATTGCATCACCCCACTATGCACTTTTCGTCCAGTTTCAAGTCATTTCGGGTGTTTAATTTTTAACTTGTCGACTTTAACTGCAGATCGCCACTTTCACTTTCATTCAGAAACATTTCATTCATGCCCCTGTGACAAACTGCGGTATTGGATGCGAGTATAAAGTAAGAACTGGTGTTTTAACACACGCTGAATAAAAAAAAAAAAAGTGTCAAACAGCTGTGTGTAGGGAGTATCCTGTTGCAAAGCGTAGAGCAAAGACTGTAACAGTTTGATTAAGTGGTTTACACATCTCTACTTCAATAATGTGACTAAAATAGTAATACTCCATGTCTTAATTCGATTTCGGTTTAGTTCGATTATGACTTCAGTCGGATCAAGGTAATCAAAACTCACTGTGTACATAGTAGACTCGTAATCAGAGTATTGTCTTAATCATGTTAAAATTATATTAGTGGTATCCATGTACTGAGTGTCACATTATAGTACATCTCTGGTAAATCAGTTCCTCATAATTATTCAGGAGACAATGTGTTCTTATCCTATAAGAGAGGCTTCAAGCTGTTAAATGATGTTCAATAGTTGAGAGACATGCATGGATCACAAGTGAATTTTTTTTTAGCTTCTTAAGAGTTTTGCTGGGATATCTTGCTGCAATATACAGAATACATGCATTTTTTTGTGCATTTCTACAGCTTACATACTTTGCATTTATATATAATTAATGTGTTATTTGGTATTAATGAAGTCTCATGTCTTTTTCTTTTAGCTGTCTGGGGAACATACGCAAATATGAGGTAATTATAATTTTTTTGTCCTTCTTGGTTATGTTTCTGACTATTTGCCAGCCCCCTTCACTGCTGTAATTGTTCTCTTAATGTCCTCTTAATGTTGAAACAAATGTCACTGCAGTCACTACAAATGTCATAACTTAAATGATCTTCTTAAAATAGTTTTCATTCATTAGATATGAAATAGACATAGTTCATTAGAAGACTGATAACATTGTTCTAGATGCTGTCACAATTTCAGATTTTAATTAATTGGCTAAATTAATTAACAGTTTCTGTATTTTGTGTTTTCCATTTAATTACAGTTGTGAATTGCATTATGGTATGTTGATCTCTGCTCTGTTGACTTTTGATGTTGAAAATTGAACTCTGCAGTTTAACAAAGTGACTTTTATTAACATTTTAGTAGTTTGAGACAAGATGTTCTTTAATAAAAAATAACTAGAGAAATTGGTCTGTAAAGACAGAAAAATGTACTGGCAGCTTATTACCAGGTTTTTAAAGTAGGTGTGCTCATTTCTGTTAATTTTGCCAACGGGCAATCGTGGCTCGTTAATTAAAAATTAACCGCTCACTGGTCCGACTAATATAAAACTTTTAAAATAAAAAAAAATGTTAGTTTATTTTGTGCCTGACACAATGTATATTGCATTTTAAAATACTGATTTATTTTAACATGCGAACATGTTAATAACACATTAATAGCACATGTAGTGTTTCCAACTACATACAAAAACAAAACAAACTAAATTAAGAAATGATAAATAGTCTAGATATTTTTCACTTAAATGACAAATTCAGATCACAAAATGGAAACACTGGGCGAGGCAGTGCCGCAGTAGTGCTGTCGCCACACAGCAAGAAGGTCGCTGGTTCAAATCTCGGCTCAGTTGGCGTTTCTGTGTGGAGTTTGCATGTTCTCCCTGCCTTCCGGTGGGTTTTTCTCCGGGTGTTCCGGTTTCCCCCACAGTCCAAAGACATGCGGTACAGGTGAATTGGGTAGGCTAAATTGTCCTTAGTGTATGAGTGTGTTGGTGAATGTGTGTGTGGATGTTTCCTAGAGATAGGTTGGGTTATATAATAATATGCTGTTATTATTATATCATAAAACCTTTTTACATTTTTATTCATAGAAATCATTATTTTAAAGATTATGTCTTGAGCATCTAGTTTTACTTTCTGAGCTTCTGTGCTTTTTTCGTTGCGGTTCATGTGCGCGCTGCATGTGATTAAAGACAACAAAAATATGGTTTAAATAAGATATTATGAGATACATACATGTTTTATAAGCTGTAAAATGAAAGCCTCAGTTCGGTGCAGAGTTGCAAAAATCGACAAAATCTTTGGATTTGTTTGATTTGTAAATTATGTAGGCCATTTTAAAAATAATTCTTTTATAAGAACTATTGATAACTGAAATTTTCCAAATGGAAAAAGGTTTCCAAATGGACCAAGATTCCATAATGCAATTTAAAAGCCTAAATAAGTTTGACAAAAACTCCAAACATGAATCACAAAATATGTAAAAAATGGCAATTTACAGATATTTTTTTAGTGTACATTATCATTATGCCCCCTAAAATCATGCTAACATCAGTAGCAGTATTATATCTATTTTTTCAGTCTTCTTTTTTGCAAATACATCAGCCCCCAAAATATATAAGTGTAAGCAGGTAGACAGAAAGTTTGTCATCATAACTGTACTAAAAGACTGTAATAAACTATAAAACGTATTTATAACAAATAGTGCAACATTGAGTATACCTTTAATCTTTCCCAGTGAGTTAGACTCAATTTTATTTGATTGAATGCCCAATTTCCAATATCAAAAAGCAAGAAAAGTAGGTCAGGATTTGATTTTACTCCCTTTGAAATCATTTGAAGGTGTTTCTCATTTATATTTACCAAATATTTATACACTGGCCACTTTATTCTGTACACCTGTTGCAATTATCTAATCACATGCCAGCAACTCGAAACCAGTTAGTAACTTGTATGGTCACCATTTGCCTCACCTAGTGCAACACATCTAATTCACAGAGTTGATAAGATTGTTGATCATGGCCTGTGAACTGTTGGTCCACTGATTTTCAATGGCTTTTCAAAGTTGCTGGATATTGACAATAACTGGAACATCCTGTCATATATAATCAAGAGCATACCAAACATGCTCAGTGGGTGATATGATCAATGGGTCCTTAAAAAATGGGGCCGTGCATTATCATGCTGAAACATGAGGTGGTGTTTTTGGATTATTTGCAAAAAAAAAAATCAGCCTCAGAATCACGATGGCTCTGTGCAATCAAAATAACACCATTAACATGCAGCTGTGTTCATTGTCTAATATACGCATGCCCATGCCATAAACTCACCACCACCATGAGCCACTCGATTCGCAACGTTGACATCACCAACCTCACATACACTGTCTGCCACTGGAGTGAAAACTAGGATTCATCTGTTAAGAGAACTCCTCTCCAAAGTGCCAGATGGTTATGACAATGAATTGCAGTCAGGTTGAGATCCTGATGGGGATGATGAGCATGCAGATTAGCTTCTCTGAGATGGTTTCAGTTTGTGCAGAAATTCTTTAGTTATATCAACCTATTGCAGCAGCTGTCCTGCTGGCAGGACTCAGATGATCTTGAAGTTGAAAATGCTGGATCATGAGATTCTGGCTTGGTGTTACATGTGCTATGCAGTTCTAAGGCCGATTGGCATACTGCCAAATTCTCTGAAAGCCTTTGTCGATTGTTTATTGTTCGTAAAAGGACAGTTTAATTCATGAGCAACTGGTCTGATGGACATTCCTGCAGTCAGCATAAAAATGGCACCTTTATCAAAACTGTCAACATTGTTGTGTGTTAAAGCTGCACATTTAGGAGTGACCGTTTATTATGGCTAACCTAAGGCACACCTGTGCAATAATCATGCTGTCTAATAAGCATCATGATATGCCACACCTGAGAGGTCGATGGACTATATTGACAAAGAAGAAGTGCTCACAAATTCAGACAAATGTGTGGACAGTATTTGAGAGCAATAGGCTCCTTATGAATATCGAAAACGTTTTAGATCTTTGAGTTCAGCTCATGAAAAACGGGAGCAAAACAATTGTAGCGATAAACATCAATATATTATAAAATATCAGCTTCAATATTTGTTTGCATACCCCATTCTCAGCTTTCTCCATATGTTCAGTTTCAGTAGATATTCATAATAATTGTTTATAAATTAGACATCATATCTATTTTAAATAGAGCACCTTAAAGATGTGCCTGAATGACAGAATCACATTATGGATGTGCAGCTGACAGATCTGGGCAACTATGGGTGCTTTCACATCTGTAGTTCGCTTGATTTGGTCGGGAACAAGCGCAATAAATGATACATTGTTGCATCTTCTGCCGTCTTTGGGTCGTTTTCACACCACACTGCTGGCTTTGGTCCGAACCAGTTGAAACAAACCAAAATGCAGTCATCTGACAAAATCCACATCTCTCATTGGCCAGATGTTGTTAAACATATTTCCTAAATTGCTTATTGATTGGTCAGAATTCACGTACGGGAAAATGCCAGTGAACTCCCGCAGGTTAACAAAACCTTTTACTCTGGAGGGACGACTGCGCTGGCTGATTGTATCCCTGCTTTAGACAAACTATACATTATGAGAATGAAATGCGGCCACGGCTGGAAAACAGTGTTTAATGCATCGCTCGTCACTTTAGCAGGAGCCGTGAATTAATTTAGCTAAACTGCGACATGCTCATCTTGCCGAAATATTACCAACGATCCATCAGGTAATGTTTTCCCCTCTCTCTCTGTCTCTGTTGGTAAAGTGCTGTCAACAAATATTTTTCTTCCATATCCCATAATGCACAGTGCATCGGCCTACGGCAGCTGAATTAGTCCAAACGCGCAGTACTTGGACCTGTTTTAGTACGGATCATATTCTCACCACAAACGAACCGCTCCAGGGTTCGTTTGAAAGTGTACCGAGACCACCTCTTTAAGCAGGTCTCGGTACGCTTATTTGGTCCACTTGAGTACGATTGCTGCATTCTCACCTGCCCAAACGAACCGAACCAAAAGGGGAAACGAACTCGAATGCGATTCAATTGAACTAAATAAGGCAGGTGTGAAAGCACCCTATGTGATGATAACATCAATAATATGGACCAAAATCTTAGAGCAGGGTTCACCAATCTCGGTCCTGAAGGGCCGGTGTCCCTGCAAGATTTAGCTCCAACTTACCTCAACACACCTGTCTGGATTTTTCAAGTAAACCTAGTAAGACCTTGATTAGCTTGTTCAGGTGTGTTTGATTAGGGTTGCAGCTAAAATCTCCAAGACACCGGCCCTCCAGGAACAAGTTTAGTGACCACTGGCTTTGAGGAATGATTGAGGAATCACCTTGTTAAATCAGCTGAACCGAAATTATGCAGTTCTGGATCCAAAAGTGTCCTAAAACTGGTACTAGCAAAGTGGCTGGTGAGTGTATACCATTTTAAACCTTTCTTTGTCATTTTCTTTGGACATCGATTCTCAGTGGGTCTTGTAAAGCAAAGCTCAGAGATATCAAGCCTTCCGTGAATGCTCACTGGACTGTGCGTTAATCAGAATCCGACATCAAACGTGCTCACTGGTCTGTGGTTTCAAGAGATCGATGGGAAAACAAGCATTATTCTAGATTCATCTTCGTCATGTGGTATTGTTGACTTTGAGCGTCTTCATCATGTGTCCGCAGCGAGCCGAGGGAAAGGACTGTGTGCTCCTCTAAGCTCTGCTGTGTGGTTGTGAAATATCTGTGAACTTGTGTATCTGTGGAGCTGAGATAAAGCCGTCTGTTGTTGTTTCCCACAGGTCTATACAGGAACACGGAGAAATGAAGATTGAGCAGAGGATAGATGAGGTTTGTTTGCATAAGCTGTTCAAGCTGTTCGTTTTTTTTTTTTTTGTACACTCTTCACGTTTACAGTTTCGCCTTTTTAGTTCAGGTTTTCTCATATCAGTGTCAACACCAGAGTCATTTTTAATATAAACCTTATGTATCTAACAGCTGAAATTCACACTTTGAGCTGTTGGAAAGCCTTACGCAGCTACCCAAGAGCGCAATATAATTAAGATTTTAATTACTCATGCCTTTGATAGCAATTAAGTTTCTTAGTCAGGGGGCAATTAACAAGCAGTGTTGAGCCGTGTTGTGCTCTGCCTGGAAACACCAAATACTTGTTCTCTGCTGTTGATGCTGTCCTGATTACATGTTTCCTTATTCTTTTAAATTGGTCCAGTTATTTTAATCTGTTGTGGCATTGGTGTTTTGAACAGAGGAAAAAAACCTTGTTTATAAGATCTTCTGGCAACTTTACACACAGTACGCACACAAACACTTTCACAAAGAGACAGCTTTTATTCTTCATCAGGTTGTCCACAGGGTCTTAAAAAGTCTTGTTTTCATGTTTTTAAATAGCAAAACGAAAATTTTAGACGTTTAAAAAGTCACTGAAATATCATGCTGTAGGTCTTAAATCATTTTAAACCGCTCTTAATTTTCCTATGTCCAAGTAAAGCTACCCAATCAGGCCGACACCCAATCATCAATCTTTATAGATTTATACAATCTTATTTATTATATTAAGTTTTTATTGCAAAAAGATACAATTCATAACAGCCAATCAGGGAAAGAAAACTAAAGCAACATATCCCTTTACGTGATCTTCCATTATTACAAGAATTATTTACAAAAGTAACTGGGCCAGTAGAAAAAAAATCCTCAGTGTTTAGCCCTGTATAAGTCTTAAGTTTCACTAATATTGGCCTTGAAAGGGTCTTAAAAAGTCTTAAATTTTACTTGAAGAAACCTGCAGAATCCCTGTTTACACACTAGTCGCTGTACTACTATTTGAAATGCCAGCGGTGAATCGTTGTGCTTGTCATGCTGAGAAGTAATGGACATCTGGCATGCACAATTAATGGAAAAGATATGGACGTAACTGTTAACTGATGTTAAAATGTAATATTTTTTCCGAAAATATCAACATTGTGTAACAACTTTATGGACCAGTCAAAAGGCTGATTTAGGCCCTATCCCATTTCTATTTTTGTATCCCTACCCCCTCCTCTTGGCCCTTGATACAGTGTGCAGGGGAAGGGCTTCAAAATGTATCCCTAAGAAATGGGACACTACTACAACACCTGCACACCACATTATATGTCATCGCGATCTCTTGCTTTATATGAGATCGACGATGACGACAGCTGTAATTATTTCAGTTGTGTAATTTCTTTTGTATTTATTTTCTGTAAATCACTAAATATTATGTTATTTTAACAATACAATGTTGCAATAAGTTCGTAACTGTACTGTGCATTTACACCTTGCCATATTTATGCATATAAACACACAAAAACAACAATAACATTATAGCAAACACTGTAGAAAGGTCAGTCCCAGTGACTTGACTTTTCTCACTGTTATTATTATGGATTATAGATCAGGGAATTTTGCGTTCTATTTTAGTTTTTTTTTTTAAGTTTTTTTAATTAATTTATTTATTTAAAGCATAACAGTAAAACATGAATGTACTTATGAACGTATTAAAACATGTCCTTGTTTTTTGGAAAAATTTATAATAATGACAAAAATACTAATTTGTGCATCTCTTGAAGCCTGGTTTATACTTCTGCATCAAGTGACTGGCGTAACCACGGGGCATGCAACACCCGTAGCTGTGCATTTATACTTCTGCGCGCTGTCTCTGTTGGTCTGCATTAACACTTCCGAAACGCTAGTTGGCAGTGAGGTGTAAATGTTCCTCTGTGTCGAGTTTCTTCGCTGTTGTTTTGCTTTTCCTGAACACTTCCTGGATGTACAAGTGACTCAAACTCGCTCATTTTGAGGCAGGAACTGGCGGACGTGCAACAACTTTAACCATGAGGTAAACACAAAACAAAACTTTCCATCCGGAGCTCCTTCACAGAACTCCACACTTGTAAACAATTGCTCCATCAGGCTCGCACAGTTCGCGTGGCTCTCGATCCCGCCCAGACTCGTCAGCGCTACCAAGCCGACCAATCACAGAGCTTGCGCTACGCGTCGTTGCGAAGTGTAGTTACATTTTTTTAGAGGTGCATGTCAGCAACCGCTACGGCCACGGCGAAGGGCTATGCGTCAGCGCCGTAGCATACGCCGGCGTTTGACGCAGAAGTATAAATCAGCCTTTACTTTTGAGTGCAGCTATGCTGCTGTTGTAGAAGGTGTATTTTGGGAAACTTCCTTACCTTTTGATTTTGATTGTGGTCCTGAAAAATCTTCATTTGAAGGGGTATCTAGCCCTTGCCCTTAGCCCTACACCTCCAAGCTAAAGAGAATTGGGACATCCCTACCCCTCCACATTAAAGCGCAAAAGAGGGGTAGGGATAAAGGCTGATTTATACTTCTGCATCAAGCAGAAGCATAGCATAGCCTTCACCGTTGACGTCGCACCTCTCAAAAAGTGTAACCACACGTCGCAACAACTTGTAGCGCAAGCTCTGTGATGGCTTGGAAGCGCTGGCGAGTGTGGGAGGAATTGAGAGCCGCGTGAGTCCGTTGAAGCAAGGGTTTTCAAGTGTCGTGTCCAGTGTAGGAGCTCCAGATAAAAAAAAGTTTTGTTTTGTGTTTACCTTAAATTTGTTGCACGTTCGCCAGTTCCTGTCTCAAATAAACTAGTTTGAACCACTTGTACGTTAAGGACCGTTCAGAAAAAGTAAAACACCTGCCAAGAAACTAGACACAGAGGAACATAAACGCATTACTGCCAACTAGCATTTCGGAAGTGTTATTGCAGACAAACAGAAACAGGGTGCAGAAGTATAAATGCACAGCTTTGCGTATTGCATGCGCCGTGGGTCACGCCGATCACTTGACGCAAAAGTATTAACCAGGCTTAAGGGGAAGGGCTAAGGGGTTGAATTGGGATTGGGCCTTATACTTCTGCATCAATCGCACAGGTATGCTTGGCTAGCTAACACTGATGCGCACCTATCAAAAAATATAACTACACGATCGAGAGTTGCATGAACTTGTTAGAGCGAATGTTTGCAAGTGTAGAGTCCGATGCTTATTATTTTATTATTGGCTGATACCGAACTCCCGCCGATCGATCGACGCATATTAATGTTAGTTAATGTCAATACAGTCATTCCTTGTTAGTTCTTGTTAGCTCATATACCAGTCAAAATCTTTCAAAAAAAAAAATCTGAATTAGAATGATGCACCCCATAACTGTTTCAATGCAGAATCTTCTGAATGGTTCTGTCTTGGTAAGACTGGTCAGAAAAATATGCCAGACTCCCAAAAATATGTACAGTACATTCAAACTTAGCTGAGCAGTTTGTAAAAAACAAATAAATGTAAACTTGAATACATAAAAAATATTAAAAAAAAAGAACCAGACTGTATTTTGAAATCAGACTATCATGAAGACATGTCAGAAAGAAAACACCCAGAACCCACTATAAATCACGTAGTGACTGTCTGAAAGCGTAGTGTAGATTGCTATGCTTTCTCGTTTATGTTGCGTTCTTTATTGCCCAAGTTCATATGCATGTCTTGTTCTAAATCTAAATGGACTCATGCTGGTTTGTGTACACGTTAATTCACATTAAAAGGCAGAGCTATAACTGATCTTTATCATCTCATTACTGATCCCAAATGTCTGCTTATCCCCGGAAAAAGCTCATTAGAATCCACATTTCCCATATCTGACTGACCTTACGGTTCAAAGTGTGTCAGCACGTACTGAGGCTTTTTTGTCAGCATCTGTGATTGCTTTTGGAAACATTGTGACATTTATACCCTTGCCTGATGTTTGATATTTGGTTTAAAGAGGTGGTACAGTTTGGAAATGTTAATTGACATCTATCTGAACTTTTCATGTTCTGAGGCAAATACCTTACATTTAGCTGCCTTTAAAAATGTTAATGGACTTAAAATAGTTGATGAACATGACTAACAGTAAGGGTTAGCTTTAAATTCATTAAACATAATCAGGAAAATGTCATTGTCAGTACAGCACAGGTGTTCCTGGAGAGCCACAGCTCTGCAAAGTTTAGTTCCAACCTTAATCCTAAACACATCGGATTAAACTTATTGAGTCCTTCCGGCTTGTTCGAAACCTACAGGTAAGTGTGTTGGAGCAGGGATGGAACTAAACTATGCAGGGCTGCAGCCGTCCAAAGACTTTGACACCCCTGCAGTACAGTATCAGTAGTTGATTGTTGGTCTACATTAGTTACATGCAGATGGATTTATAATAAGATTTAAGTACAGGTTAGACCAGGTGTGGGCAAACTTGATCCTGGAGGGCCAGTGTCCTGCATAGTTTAGCTCCAACCCTATTCAAACAGACCTCCCTATAGAGTTCAAGTGATCTTGAAGACACTGATTAGTTTGTTCAGGTGTGTTTGACTAGTGTTGGAACAAAACTCTGCAGGGACACCGGCACTCGAGGATCAAGTTTTCCCATCCCTGGGTTAGACTGAATGATTTTTTTTTTCATTAAATTAAATACTGTTTAAAAAATTGCAGTCAGTAAGTATGCTTTAAATCAATTTTGATCAGTAAACATTTATCAAAAAGTGATACTACAGACATTTATAATGGTACAAAAGCTGAAAAAAGTCCATTCATCCCTCCGACCTTCCACCTGACCGTCTATCCATCTATCCATCCATCCATCCATCCATGCATCCATCCAACCATCCATCCCTTCCTCCCTTCCAAAGCAATCCCGGTATCTCTTCCCTCTCAAGGAAATCCTATGTATCCTTTTCCTTCCAAGGCAATCCCAGGTATCTCCTTCCTCCCTTCCTTCCAAGGCAATTCCAGGTATCCCCTCCCTCCCTCCCTCCCTGCCAAGGCAATCTCAGGCAATGCCAGGTATCTTCTCTCCCTCCCAAGGTAATCCCAGGAATAACCTTCCTCCCTTCCTTCCAAGGCAATTCCAGGTATCCCCTTCCTCCCTCCCTGCCAAGGCAATATCAGGCAATGCCAGGTATCTTCTCTCCTTCCCAAGGCAATCCCAGGTATCTCCTCGCTCCCTAACTTCCAAGGCAATCCCAGGTATTCCCTCCCTCCCTCCCAAGGCAATCTCAGGTATCCCCCACTTCCTCTTTTCCAAGGCAATCCCAGGTATCCATTCCGTTTCTCCTAAGGCAATTTCAGGTATCCCAAGGCAATCGCAAGACAATCCCTGGCAAGACCAAATATATAGTTCGGCCGTCCAGTCGATCAGTTAGTCAGTCAGTCTGTCAGACAGACGGTCGCTTGACAGCGGCCTCCGGCGACTTTTAATGCGAAAACAGCACGGGCGCGAACAGTGCGCGATTGCAAGATGCATTTGAGATGCGAAAAAGCACGTAGAGCGGCCTCTCGCGGATTTGCAGAAACAAAAACTGCACAAATACGTACCTACCAGGACTTATTTCACGGTCTCCACAAACGTCGGTGGGGCTACATTTCCAGAATGAGCCTGGGTTGAAATATCATGCTGCTTAAGTGTAGCCTATTTCTTTACACAACAACAATGGCAGCCTTGAGAGAAGAACAGTTTCATAGAAGTCATATAGGCTTGTTTTGCCTGTTGCACGACAAGCAATACCACACTCTTTTTAAATATGATACAATGATGGTGTCTGAGCGACAAGAACAGTATTGTAGCCTTGTGCAGTTATTACCTTTATGTTATATTTACTTTGTTATTTGTTTGTATTTTGCTTTATTTTATTATTATATATTTTTGGCCTTTTTGCCTTTATTAGATAGGACAGTATTTCGACAAGAAGCGAAGTTGGAGAAAGAAAGGGGGGTAGGGTAGGGTAATGTCCTCGAGCTGGGATTTTAACTCGGGACGCCCTGATGTGCTACTGCACGCTAACCACTAGGCTATTGTGCCAACGTATTTTGCTTCATTTAATTTGTTGGTTGTAAACGTCATAATGGAGTTTTAAGTACATCATAAGTACAGCAGTACTCCCTCCTACCTTCCTGCAGATTTGATTTGCTACCCTGATCAAACACACTTTTTCTGTAATTATCAAGTACTGCTTTAGGTCCTAATTAATTGGCTTAGTTGTGTTTGATCAAGGTTGGAGCTGAACTCTGCAGGAACGTAGATCTCCATTAACAGGATTAAAAGCCACTGTTTTAAGTGGTATTACTTTTATACCAATGAAAAGATGTTAACAGGGGAAACTTTTTAATAATGTTTGTGCACATAACTGCAAAATGTGGCATACTATATAATTTGTTATGTTAAGGTAATTCAAGTTCATTTTACTTCATTTAATTGCATGTTTATTTTTGAAGTATTTTCATTTATTTATTATTTAAACCTTTTCTTTTTAATAACTACTGGTCTAAATAACTATACTATTATCCTGAAATGAAATGTCATACCACCCACCCCACTAAACACAAATGTCAGAATACACTTTTTAAAAGGTATGCAAGTCTACCAGGTAAAAACACTAATGCATCACTGCTGACTTGCTGAGGGTGCATCCCTGAAAATTTCAAGTTCATACTAGATGAAAACGGGGTCATTATCTATCTTTTCTTTCAACATGTCTTGTTTTAACTCTCATATCTCACTCTGTTCCTCACAGGCAGTGGGACCTCTCAGGGAGAAGATACGGGAACTCGAGCTTAGGTATGTTTTTCTTTTATGCCAAATAAAAAACAACTACACTCTGCTAGATTTGTCTTGCTATGCGTTTATAACACCATGATATTTAACGTTATAAATTATTTCATAAAGTACATTCATTTAAATTTGACTGTATACACCTGGTTTATTTGAATTAGGCAGTCGTAAGATATGCATATAAAAACATTGATTAGCAAGTATGGGTGCTTTCACACCTGTAGATCGATTGTTTTGTTCTGAAACAAGGACTAAAATTAAAAATAAAGGAGCACAAGGCAGTTTCTATCAGCATTGCTTTCTTGTTAGGATGTTGTTGACAAGCATAAATGCTTATTTAGGATTTTCTTTCACTTCACAGTTTTACCCAGAAGTACCCACCAGTGAAATTCTTATCCGAGAAGGACCGAAAGAGGATTTTGGTAAGTTCTTTAACATTCTCAAGGGTCCAAAACAGCTTTTTTTCAACAATACAAGTACATCTGTTTGCAAGATATGAAGAACATCTTTCAGTACTTATTAAATTACAGGAATTCCTAATAGTTAATTGATCATTTTCCAACTTTCAAAAGGTTAACTATTATCTCCTCCAGTGTAAATGTTAATAAATAAAACCTCCTGCATTTATGAGGTGTCAGAATTAAGCATGACCAATTTGGCCACTGTGAAGTAAACATTTATTTCAGAGGATGTTTTTCAGTAGGCTGTATAGCTTGCAGATAATTTAGACGGGACGGACAGAAGCTGTCTAACATCAGGTAGTAGAAGCACTGCTCATTTATTTTCTGATTTAGTGATTGACTTCCACAGAAGAGCCTTATTAAAATTTCCGCAAATTTAAGTAAATCAAAAGCATGACTACTTAACCCAATAATGCTGGCTTGTGAAATGATCATGCAGTCTTTCCTCCGCTAGATCACCGGTGGGGCAGGATTCGTGGGCTCCCACCTCACCGATAAGCTGATGATGGATGGTCATGAGGTGACTGTGGTGGATAATTTCTTCACCGGTCGCAAGCGCAATGTAGAGCACTGGATTGGCCATGAGAACTTCGAGCTCATCAACCATGATGTGGTGGAGCCGCTCTATATTGAAGGTGATTGCCAAATATTCCAAAAACGCTACTGCAAATCTCAATGCCAAGATTATTGAATCGAGTTTCTAATGCAGATCCCTTCAGAAGACACCAGTGTTGTCTTTTTCAAAGCTGGTATCATCAAGCTAGCCGAGTTCTGTCTGATATCCAAAACCAGTTAAACTTAATACCAATAGTTAACCAAATACCAAATTGGTTAGCAAAACCCTTTATTTACCTTACGTGACAAAAGTCTTGTCGTCGATCCCAGTTGTAAGAGTCACAAATAATAACTTCTATATTATTATTTGGAAAAGTGTCTGAAGGCGGATTTTTCATCTGTTAAACTGTATCCCAATCATCACAAATACTGCAGAAGATTCTATTGTAACCCTTATGGACCCGATATTATCAGAGAAATCAGTAAAGCTTGGTAAGGAAAATTCATGGTTTATGTTTACATTCAGTATAGGTGCATGCAAGTGATTTGCACAGTGGATGGCAACATCAACAGCCTGAGGTATCAAGACTTTTGTGCTTCCTATTACATTACAAACCATAAGAGAGGGCGAATTGTTCAGCAGGATAGCGCTCCTTCTCATACTTCAGCCTCCACATCAAAGTTCCTGAAAGCAAAGAAGGTTAAGGTGCTCCAGGATTGGCTAGCCCAGTCACCAGACATGAACATTGTTGAGCATGTCTGGGGTAAGATAAAGGAGGAGGCATTAAAGATGAATACAAAACATCTTGATGAAGGGAGTCCTGCAAGAACGCTTTCTTTGCCATTCCAGATGACTTTATTAATAAGTTATTTTAATCATTGCAGAGATGTATGGATGCAGTCCTCCAAGCTCATGGGAGTCACACACAATAATCATTCTTTTTCCGCCGCAGCATGACTTTATATTCTATACTGTACATTATTTCTGTTAAGCGACTTTTGTCTAAGCAAAGTTAAACTTTACTGTCAAAATTAAATAATTAAAAACAAGCCATGATTATATTTCATTTTGGTAAAATTAGCATAATCTAACCTTCGCCTTTCATATAAGCCACTTCTAATATCAAATAATCACTCAAGTTGTTATTTGTTGGTCCTGAAAACTTGGATAAGCAACAAGACTTTTTCAGGGAGTGATATTTATTATTTTATATTATTTACTTTATTTACATTATGTTGTTCCAAACGCATACAAAATTCAAATCTGACTCATTTATTTCCTGTTTATGAATAAAATTGAAAGCTATAAACCGATCAATATTTCTAACTTTGGGCTTTGAATGTCTGTTGTCATGTTTACTAAATTGATTTACTACACCACCTGCAAAGGTGCGTATCTCACTTTGTCTGGCAAGCAGAAGAGCATGAATACTGATTATGTTGTTTTTGTTTGTGTCTGCTCCGCCATAAAGGTATGCTTTCTCTATCAGAAAGTTATGTTTTTGTTAGCAGGAACTTGCTAAGCAACAGAGGAATGCATATTTAGAGAGAGGGTGCTCGCTGCAGAGCCATTTGAGGAGAGGTGAGCTCCAGAGAGGGGGAGCATGAGCTGTCGCTCCTCCTCCTGTAAGCTGTTTTAATGCGTACACCAACCCCACCCCTAACCCTACCCCCAGTGACATCACTCGTAGAAGAAGTGCAAAAAAGGTGGAGCTCAAGCTTAAGCTCCCCCTCTCTGGAGCTCACCTCTCCTCAAATGGCTCTGCAGCGAGCACCACTTGTATTTAGAGGCAAGGGAAAAAAGTAGTGGACACTGAAATGCTTGCGGTCAATTTGACCACTATGGTAATTAATGTTAGAAATACTCAGAACTCTTTTGTGTTTTGTCATTTTAATAAATGTTAGAAATAAACATACAGTACATTTAGGAAAAGTCAGGTTGTTATAGTTATATGTTTGTTTTTTTAAACAAAATTAATTAAACCTTGGTAGTTTAAGCAATATATTTAAATAATATTAAAGAAATAAAATAATGTAAAGTGATTGAGTCTCTTCAGAAAACTTGGATTTAACCTCAGTTCATGACGTTCGATCTTATGAACAGTTTGAATCATCAAAGTTCAGGGGGAGTATGCTTTAAATGGAGGAACAGAAATCTCAGAGATTTGATTAAGTAACTTGTGAAGATGAATGAATGGTTTGAAGCGACACAGGGATGATGAGAGATGGCAGAATTGTAACTATTCTTTAACTGAAAGACCTCTATCACCCTGAGAGTTTGGCAGATGAAGATAAAGAAGACTGGAAAGCAAGAGACGAAGTGATTAGTTGTTCAGACTTCATGCTTTTTCCCCCAGACTTCATCTGTCCAGCACAAATCCAATAAATGTCATGTCATGTCAAGTGCAATGGAAAAATGACTACTTCACAGTCTTCTTCTTCATTTGAAGTAAAACAAACGAAAACAAAAACAAATTGGAGACATTCTCTTAAAGGGCACCTAGGTTACCCCTTTTTTCAGATTTAATACAAGTCTTATGCGTCTCTAGAATGTGTATATAAAGTTTCAGATCAAAATACCCATCAGATTTTTCATTATACCTTTTACAAGATGCTGTTTTATACTGATTTCCAGCAGGGGGTGGTTTTGTCGTACTGCGCCTTTAAGACGATTCTTTCCCGCCCACTTTCTCGCCCACTACATGCCTCCTCCCTCAGCTGCGTCAGACAACAGACAGACTTAAAGGAAGAAGGTCTCACGTAGCGTTTGTGAGATACTACAGTAAGAACTAACCTTTACTAATCAGTATTGTGAAGTTGCATTGATGAGTCACACACAATATCGTTACAAAGTTAACGCGCACACACACACACACACACACACCACAGATGACACACACACAGGCAGGCAGGCAGACAGAGCGCACTTAGCTTAGTTAAGGCTAACCTCAAGTACTGTGTGGATATCTGTTATGCTAATGTACAAAATAAACCTGATTTAACTTCCACAAACCGGGTTTGAAGCGTCTTCTTTTATAATTGTTCTGACGCGGCTGTGCTGATGAAGTAAAGCTGAAGTAAAACGCTGTAATTAATTACACACATACTCTGTTTTAAAACACTTTAAACATGTGAAACTTACTCTTAATCACATTTGATGATGATTGCTGATCCTAGCGAACAGAACAGACCTTTTATTCCCGGTTGCTTTGCGTATGTCTGCCTGGTCTTGTTGACATATACACGCGACTACCAGAACATGTTAATGCGCGCAGCTGTCAATCAATTCGGTGGGCGGGGGGATCGCACACCTACGTAATGGTGTGATCGATTTGAAAACAGCTCCAATTGGCCGACCCTTTTTTTGTAGTTAAATTGAAAAATAAAGGACTGGGTGTGTTCATATCACCCCAGTATGACGGTCTATACACTATACAAACACACAGTCTGTCCAAACAGCTTGAAAAGTAGATTTTTTACCATAGGTGCCCTTTAATGTTTGAGAAATATTATCCTGAAAACATAGATATGCTAAAACTAATGAAAAAACATTAGATAAAACAAAAAGCCAGACAAACAAAACTACATTAGATAAGACAAAAATCCAAATAACAATAAATAATGTGTATATATATATATATATATATATATATATATATATATATATATATATATATATATATATATATATATATATATATATATAAAATTTAATTAATGTAATTGAAAATAAGACACACTGATTATAAAAACACTGATTTATAAAATGCCAATTATAAAAAGAAGGGATGATAGAAAGATAACTATAACTGCACGAAAGTTAAAAAGTAGATTTGTTGCAATGAAATACAAAAATGTGAATACCAGAAACTGATAAATTCTCTGAAACACAAAGATTTCTCATTCACTGAGGGATCAGGGCTGCTAGTGTCTATTAAATCCACTGCTGATTGCAAGGTCTTTCTAGAAAGAAAGGGAGTGTTCTAAAGAAAATTGTTCTGGGAACTGCGAGGACTCTTAAAGACAGAGGAAAATGATTTAAACTCATCTTACTTTTTGTAAGATTTTAAAGTTTTGAAAGTTCAAGATGTTCCAAGATACAAAACTAAAAATCAGTAAAAAGGAGGCAGCTTCCATGAATTTGGTTTGAATTAAGGACAGTGACTGTCAGCGGACAGCAATGGATGCATGAATAAAGTGAAGATAAGCTTAGAGGAGCACAGCTCATTCTTTGAGAGTCTTGGAGTAGAGCTGGTGCTCCACCACATAGAGAGAGGCCAGTTGAGTTGGCTCGGGCATATGTTTCTGATATCTACACAGGGAAGTGTTTTAGGCTTGTCTCACTGAGAAAAAGGACCTAGGATATGATGGAGAGTCTCTTGGCTTCTCTGGGAATGCCTCAGAATCCTTCCAGAGGAGCTGGAGCAAATATTTGGGGAAAAGGAAGTTTGGGGTTCTCTCGCGAAACTGCTGCTCTTGTGACCCGGACAAGCAGTAGATGATATGTATTCACAGCCTTTGCTCAATGCTTTGTTGATGCACCTTTGGTAGCAATTACAAGTCTTTTTGAATACCATGCCACAAGCTTGGCACACCTGTCTTTGGAAATTTTTGCCCATTCCTCTTTGCAGTACCTCTAAAGCTCTATCAGGTTGGATGGGAAGCGATGGTCTACAGCCATTTTCAGATCTCTCCAGAGATGTTCAATAGGATTTAGATCTGGGCTCTGGCTAGGCCACTCAAGGACATTCACAGAGTTGTTGTGTAGCCACCCCATTGATATTTTGGTGGTGTGCTTTGAGTCGTTGTCCTGCTAGAAGATGAACTGTCACCCCAGTCTGAGATCAAGAACACTGAACAGGTTTTCATTCAGGATGTCTCTGTACATTGCTGCATTCATCTTTCCCTCTCTCATGACTAGTCTTCCAGTTCCTGCTGCTGAAAAACATCCCCACAGGATGATGCTGCCACCACCATGCTTCACTGTAGGGATGGTATTAGCGTGGTGATGAGCGGTGCCAGGTTTCTTCAAACTTAACGCCTGGCATTCATTCCAAAGAGTTCAATTTTAGTCTCATCA